ACCTTTAATAATTTTTTTTTTGGTTTAACCCCTTCTTTAAATTTTTTTTTGGGGGGGGAGGGGGGGGGTTTTTTTTTAAAAGGGGGGGGGGGGGCGGCCCGGGTTGGGGTGGGGGGGTGGGGGGGGGGGAAGGGGGGGGGATTAATATTTTTTTTTTTCCCCCCCCCCCCCCAAATGTATTTTTTTTTTTTTTTTGCAAAAAACAAGGGGGGAGGGTTTTATAATTTTTTTTTTAAAAAATAAAGGAGGGGAAAAGTAATATTATAAAAAGGGGAAAATAAAAGGGGTTTTTTTTTTTTTTTTTTTTTTGGGGGGTTTTTTTTTTTGGGGGGGGTTTTTTTTTGTTGGGGGGGGGGGGGGGGGTTTTTTTTTGGGGGGGGGGGGGGGGGGGGGGGGGGGGGGGGTGGGGGGTTGGGGGGGTTTTTTGGGGGGTTTTGGGGGGGGGGTGGGGGGGGGGGTTTTTTTTTTTTTTTTTTTTGGGGGGTTTTTAAAAAAGGGGGTTTGGGGAAAAAAAAGGGGGGGGGGGGGGGGAGGGGGGGGGGTTTTTTTTTTTTTAAAAAAAAATTTTTTTTGTGGGGGGGGGGGTTTTTTTTTTTTTTAAAATTTTTTTTTTGTTTTTTTTTTTTTTTTTTTTTTTTTCCCCTTTTGGGGGGGGGTTTTTTTTTTTTTTTATTTTTATTTTTTTTGTTTTTTTTTTTTAGGTTTTTGGGGGGTTGGGGGGGGGGAGGCCGGTTTTTTTCGGGGGGGGGGGGGTTTTTTTTTTTTTTTAATTTTTTTTTTTTTTTTTTTTTTTTTTTTTTTTTTTTTTTTGGGGGCCCCCCCGGGGGGGGGGGGGGGGGGGGGGGGGGGGGGGGGGGGGGGGGGTCCCCCCCCTTTTTTTCTTTTTTTTTTTCTTTTTTTCCGGGGCCGCCCCCCGGGGGGGCCGGCCTTCCCCCCTTTTTTTTTTTTTTGGTTTTTTTTTTTTTTTTTTGGTGGGGGGGGGGGCCCGGTTTTTTTCTTTCGGGGGCTTCCCCTCCCCTTTTTCGGTTTTTTTTTTTTTTTTTGTTTTTTTTTTTTTTCTCCCCCCCCTTTTTTTTGTTTTTTTGTTTTTTGGCCCCCCCCGTTTCTTCGCGCCCCCCCCCCCTCCCCTCCCCTGTCCTGGTTTTTTTGGTGTTTTGGGGGGGGGGGTTGGGGGGGGGGGGGGGGGGGGGGGGTTTTTTTTTTTGTTCTTCTTCTTTTTTTTTTTTTTTTTTTTTTTTTTTTTTTTTTTTTTTTTTTTTTTGGCCCCCCCCCTCTTTTTTTTTTTTTTTTTTTTTTTTTTCCCTTTTTTTTTTTTTTTTTTTTTTCCCCCTCCCTTTTTTCTCTTTTTTCTCGGCTCCTTTCCGTTTCTTTTGGTCTTTCTCTTTTTTTTTACGGCCGCTTCTTTTTTTTTTTCTTTTTTCTTCTTGTCGACTGACATGGATATTAACAATTCTTTTTACCTTGAGTACATTTAGGACCAATGATTTTAATAAATAAAAAACATCGGTTTTAACTGTCACTTAAAACTCCTAACTGTTGTGTTAATATGTTTTGTAGAAACCAGAATCTGTCTCATTAAATCTTGATTGAGGGTTGCCTTATGATAAAAATGTAGTATGTAACTGTACCATTAACAGTATGAACTGAGGTATCATCATGTCAACACTAAGATGAAACGAGTATTGTGATGACTCTCTTTCGATGTTCTAGAATATTCGAACTTTATTCACAGCCTTTTAATATGGTTATACGGTTCGCTGGTAGAACATACGTTAGTTAATTATTGTAACCGAGCATTGGATAGTGTAGTACCATTAATTTCAAGGTAAGGCCGTAATGCCGTGCAATAGGAATTCACTAACAAGTAAGTTAAAATAAACTGTTACTTAATACACCTTGAACTCACTTTGCAATTGAATGTATCATTATTTGAAATTTGATCCCCAGATCAAGGCTTGGAGCGCTATTTTTCATGAATAGGGATTGGGGAATAAATAAAATATATATAGTGCTAGTTCTAAACGTAACAATTTTGATGAAATTTTAGTGTGTGTGCAAGTGGATTCGAGTCATTTTTTTAAGTTTGAATTTCTTGTATTTAAGACGCGTATACAGGACTTTGCAAAATGTAAAACGAAATAGAATAAAAAACATCAAAAAATATATGTTTTTAAATTTGTAAATTTGTTTAGGATTTTTTAGTCAATTAGGTGAGTAAGGAAAATCAGAAGTCGCAAGTATTCCATTTAGCGTTACTATATTAGCATACCGGCTGTAGGAAAGTTGTCCTTAAGGTTCTAACTCGAGTCTAGACCAATATTTCAGGCTTTCACGACTTTCCCTTTCTTGACCCTTCGATAAATTGGCCCGATAGTCTTACTTTCCTATGGGAGGAGCATTTGCGTTAAACGAAAATTAATCAACAAAGCTTTTTTAAATTTGAGGACTACTTAAATGATCTAATCTTGGGATTGAATTGCTCCAGTTCAAACAATTTGTATGACAATATTGCGATTAAAAAAGGCGGAAAGTTTCTTGCCAGTTCTTCTTACCCTCTAGCCCTTGACTTGCGAAACTGGTAGTAAATTAAATTTACGATTAATTTAACTTGACGATTCAAAAGTGTACTTGGTTACTACTTGAATAAAGAATGCGTTAAGTGGCGATACCCTTCACATTTGTATTAGGTATTATTACTTAGAAGGTTATACGACACAATACATTAACATTATGGAATATAAAATTCTACTTCAGATTATATGGACCATGGGTAAAAGATTTTTTATATTTTATTTGTAAAAGCTTACCAACGCTGATACATAAAAAAATACAAGATTTAATGTAACACGTATATGCACTCAAAAAAATATTTTTTCAGACATTCTAAGTTCCTTTTTGTACTACAAGTAAAAAATAGGCGTCAAACGTCCAGCCGGTGTAAAAAAATGCATCCAAAGGCTTAGAAAATCAGATTAACGTCAGGGAAAACCACTAGAATTTAAATCAAAAACACACAAAATTTTAACTTAAGTATCTTATATAAAAAAATAATCTCAAAAGTCGAAGACGCCTGGACCAATTATTCGAGAATTTAAAAAAAAATGTATTCCTTGAATTTTAAAAACTCCCTGAGTAAGGTTTTTATGGTGAGATTAATTGGAGAAACTGCACGAACACTGAACTTTTTTTCTGTAATTGTTAACGCGAATAGTCTATGAAATAGCAAAATGTACCATATGTTGGTATATAGCTACTAAGTTAGGCTAATTAAAAAAACATATTAAGGCGAAACGAAAGTTCGTGGGGCAGCTAGATAAAAATAAAATTACACGCAGAAAAAATTACAAATGAGTTGTAATATTAATTATACAGTAGGTATATTTTTGTTAATCATTATATCACGTTAATCAATTAAAAATGGCGTAATATTTTAATAGATATCAGTGTATTCTGATAACGATTTTATGTAACGGAGTTCACAGTAGTTTTGTTAAAGGCAGTTTTAAAATGATGGAGGTAAATGTAAGTATTTTTGAGTTAAATGTGTTGAAATAAATTTTTACCAGTGTTACAGCACCTTAATGAAAATTAGTTTTCCTTTACACCCACACACATATAAATAACTTATAAGTATTTTATAGTTAATGGTTTCTGATACGACTATTTGGTAAAAAAGTAATTTGAATTATTTTTTAATACTTTCTGTTATTTTTTTACCTATGAATGCTAAACAAATTGCATATTATTAGGCGTTTATTTTATTTTCAACTTTATTAGAAAATAAAGATATTTATATAAGAATGTAAATACGCTGTTGGCTAAGTCTTCAGAATTGAAACCTCACCCTGGGTATATTTCTCCAGCCTATGCCATTCGGTTCTGCTTTTTTGATAGAACAGATGGCAATCAGACTCTCATGTTTGTGAAGGGCTTTTAAGAATACTTCCATTCTTTGTTCGCTACAAATATCGTCTACCTAGCGATTTTGGTTTCGTCCATTTCGTCCTTTATAGGTCCATCTTTTGTCTGGACATCGTTCTAGTTCAAGCTCAAGACCATTTTAGTTTTAAGGCGTGTAACATATTTGACAGTTTTTTGTTAAAATTGCATATTATGTGTAAATCTCTTACAGTTTTAAAATTGTTTTTGAATTCTAGATTGAATAAAATAAATAACTCATGGAAATCTACATATTTTTATAATAAAATGCCATTAAAAATTGATTACGATTTAAATAAATCGCTGGTATCGATATGTAACCAAATAAATGCTAGAATAGATTTTATCCATATTTATTTGTCGCAACCACGAAGCAATATATATTAAAATAATATGTATGTATGTATAACGCAATCCATAATGACGTTTGACGATTCTTTAATAACATCATTTTCAAAACCGAATGGACTCAACCCCAATTTATAGGTTGTTTTTTGGAGGTAAACAAATTACAATACAATATGTCGAAAAAAACAATTACCACGCGAACGAAGTGTATCATACTTCTAAGACATGGATTTTTAAGCAATAATAATAATAACAAATGCGTGACCATAACTTAACATCTCGATTATAATATTTTTATTCAAAGTTCAATACAGATTTTTTTAGACCTTAACCTTTTAATGTCATTCAATAATCCGTGAACTGTTATATTGGAGCCGGCTGTAATTTTTTTCTTTATATGGCAAAGGAAATCATCGTGAGGAAACCGGCTTGCCTTAGACCCAAAAAGTTGACGGCGTGTATCAGACACAGGAGGCAGATCACCTACTTGCCTTTTAGATGTCTTTTAGAAGACAAATGATCATGAAACAGATACATAAATATGACCTGAAAAGGTTGTAGCGCCACTGATTTATTTTATTTAATAAATACTATTGACGCGATTATTTTATTATTATCTTTATAAATTAAACATTTTAAACAGTATTATATGTTTGACGTCTGCGAGTCATAGGGGAAGAGTACAAAATCGATTTGATGGATTTCAGGCCAGTATGCCAACTCCGGACTACAACGTGGAGCTGGACCTGGGCGAGCCCCCTCCAGAACTCCAGGAGTATGCGAGAAGGGAGTGTGGAGAGGACCCTAACACCAGATTACAAGCAATTCATGAACTAAGGGAAATGATATACGGTATGGTCAAAGTTTTTATTTTTGTTTTTGTATGAAGATACAAAAATGAACAAAAAAAGGACGTAATTTTAGCAACAACAACGCATAACATTAAATAGATAACGTAAATTAAACATACTTAAACGCGTAATTTACTAATAATGACATAACTATTTAAGTTTTTCTATTTGGAAGGCTATTTACATTTTTTTTTAAATTTATTTCCACTTCGTTACATTTATACAAAACAAATAAGAATACATAACAATTATAAGGGAAGCAACGGGCGGCTTTATCGCTAACAAACGATATCCTCCAGGCAAGAAAAAAAATATATAGTTTAAGAAGGGCCATAACCAATTCTTATAAAAAAAACAATATTGTAGAACCTTAATCTAAAATAATACAAAAAAAAACGACTAATAAAACAAACTAAAAAGCTAATTTCACGGATTCATGAATTGCGATGCAATACAGAAGAATAAGAAATACAAGAAGTATAAAAGTCGAGATTTAGTATATGGTTAAGAAATGTTTCCACTCCCACACCTAAAACGAATACTTGTGCAACTGAGAAACAATTTTATACCAAACAAATATATATAGCCACATTCAACACATTATCCCTAAAGTCTGAAGAAAGCCTTAAAGAACTTCTATATTCTATCAAAAATATTAAGTGGGACATTATAGGCCTGAGCGAAGTAAGAAGGATTGGCGAATCAATTCAGGAATACGATGAAGTCATATTATATTATAAAGGTGAAACTCCAGGAAGACATGGAGTAGGTTTCCTGATCAAGAAAGAACTCAAAAACTCTATAGTGGAAATAATCGGCATATCAGAAAGGATCGCTATATTGAATGTTAGAATCCCTCCAGGCAGAGAACCAACTGAGCAATCAACGAGTTCAGAGATCGACCTTTTCTACTCATCCCTTAACACCGCCCTAAAAGAACACACACACAAAAACTGCATTATAATGGGCGATTTCAATGCACGTGTTGGAACCCCAAGAAACGGTGAAGATGTCGTACTAGGTCCTTACAGTACTGGAAAACGAACACGAAACGGGCAAAAGATGATGGAAATGGCATTTGAAAATAATATGAAAATAATGAATAGTGTATTCAAAAAAAGAGCTTCCAGAAGATGGACATGGATATCACCAGATGGTCGATACAAAAATGAAATAGACTACTTTTTAACGAACAGACCCAAATCAATCGACGACTGTGGCACCATCTCTACCCTTAACTTCAACAGTAACCATAGAATGCTTAGAGCGTGTTTAAACGCATCATTTAGTTTGAAGTTATGTCGACCCTTCAAAATTAAAACATCCACAATGTGCAGCAACACTAGTATTGCCAACATAAAAGAAAACCTCAAGTCCGTGCAGGTATCATCGCTCGAGCACCTAAAAACTCAAGAGAAATACAACATAATACACGAGATACTAACAGCAAGATCGAAAACCACGTCTAAAACCAAATCACAGGACAATGGCCACATATCAGCTAAAGCAAAAGACCTCATAGAAAAAAGATCAAAATTAATTAAAATGACTTACAAAACAAAATCTATCAGAGAACAAATAGGAAAAACTAGCAAAGAAATTAAGAGCCAAATGAGAAGAGACAGAGAACGTCTTAGACGTGACACTTTTGAAAAACATATCATCAAGACGGGTGGCATAAAAAAGGCTCTTAAGCTCTTATCTGACAATACAAAGTGGATACCTAATATGAAAGACCAATTTTGCAAGACAAGGACTATCAGATCGGATATTTTATCAATAGCCACAAAATTCTATGAGAACCTTTACTCCAGCAATATCAGACTTTAGCTTAACTAGCAACGATAATGTTCCTCATATAATAGAAGCAGAAATAAACAAAGCAATTGAATCCCAGAAGAAGGATAAAGCTTCCGGCCCTGACGGGATCAATAATGATATGCTTCAAGTCTGCAAAAAAGAGATATCACCACTACTAAAATACATCTTTAACGATATACTGAGCACTGAACAAATTCCGTTACAGTGGACCACATCAACGATCATCCTCCTCCACAAAAAAGGTGACAGGAGTGACATGAACAATTATAGGCCGATAAGCTTAATGTCAAACATCTATAAAGTCTTTGCGAAAGTAATTTTGCGGCGAATAACCAGAAATCTGGACGAAAATCAACCTATAGAGCAGGCTGGTTTCAGGGCGGGATATTCAACATTAGACCATATACTTACGGTAAGACAAATATTTGAGAAAACCAAAGAATTCAATGTGCCGTTCTATTGTTGCTTCATAGACTACAACAAGGCATTCGACTCAATAGAGCACGAAAATATCTGGCACTGCCTCAAAAATCAAGGAGTCGACCCAAAGTACATCAGAATATTAAAAAATATATACACGAATAGTACCGCTAGAATAAAACTAGAAAAAGTAGGAAAAGAAATCAAAATAAATAGAGGTGTACGTCAAGGAGACCCCCTATCACCTAAATTATTCACAGCTATACTAGAAGACATCTTCAGAGAATTAAAATGGGATGGGTACGGACTAAACATAAACGGGGAACAACTAACACACCTACGATTCGCCGATGACATCATACTATTTGCTACAAACAAAGAGCATCTAAGAATTATGATTACAGACCTGGAGAGGAAAAGCCGCAAGGTAGGGCTAACAATGAACACCTCAAAAACTAAAGCCATGACGAATGCATCAGAAGATATTATTATAGTAAATGGAGAGTCAGAAGAAAAAAAAAAAAAAAAAAAAAAAAAAAAAAAAAAATATATTTGTTTTCTCTCACACAAAAAATACAGACACAAAATACAAATTTCAGCATTAACAGGCAAAATCTGTGTGAGAGACTGGCGACTGTACTAGGATACCTGTATTACAGATTGCCAGTCCCTCCGCATCCGGACCGAATGGAATTTAAGTATGTACATCAATTTGATCGAGAGACTATTACAAATATTACAAATATACTCACATTTAAGTGGGTGTGTGTGATGGTGATGTATGGTTTAGTGTATGTAAGTGTTAATGTATGTATGTGTTAGTGAATTTATGACTTAGTGTATATATGTCTTAGTGAAGCATACATGAGCATGGGTGATAGTGTACCTATGTACTCGTATACATAAGTGTTAGTGTTAGGTATTAGTGAGGACTACTAAAACTTCTAGTCCCTGTAGTTAGATTTTTAAGTGTGAGTTAATTGATTATGTGAAAGAGTACACATACCTGGGCCAACAGATCTCAACCACTGGTATAATGTCGAAGGAAATTGATACAAGAATTGGGAAAGCGTGGAAATGTTACTGGGGGCTTAGCGAAATCATGAAAAACACAGAAATAAAAATAAATGTCAAATCAAAGCTGTATAACACTTGCATACTTCCGGTATTAACATACGGCTGCCAAACTTGGGCACTCACTAAAATGCAAACCAGGCAATTGAAGACATGCCAGACGGCGATGGAAAGAAGCATGCTAAATATCAGGAAGTCCGACAGAATCAATAATAAAATCATACGAAACCACACGAAGATTGAAGACGTCACAACGAGGATACGAAGATTGAAATGGAAATGGGCTGGTCACGTAATAAGAGGTATAGAAAAGTGGAACAAAAAGATCATATATTGGTACCCAAGAAATAATAAAAGAAAACGAGGTAGACAGTTTCGAAGATGGGAAGACGAAATAAAATCCGTAACTGGGAAAATTTGGACCAGGAAAGCTCAGAACAGAGCAGAGTGGAGAGAAATGGAGGAGGCCTTTGCCAAAGTTGGGCAAACAGATGGGCTGTCGGTGTCACCGACTCACTAGTGTTAAGTTTAAGTTTAAAATTATGTTATTATTTTCTATCTGATTAAAGGCTTTATTATTATTATTATATAAGAAATGTTTATGCATAAGTGTTTTAAAAGATTTCATTTAGGTACGTGCGAAGCTTATTTACAAAGATCTATAGTGTAATTAATAATAATAATTAAGCCCGTTTTATTTCCAATCATGACATAAACAATATAATATACAGCTTAGATTATTTTACATTTTTATAATTTTTTTATGAACCCCTTCACGGGTAAAGGCCTCCTCAAGCTTTTTCCAACTGACTCTGTCTATGGCTCTCTTTCTCCATTCGTTTCCTGCTACCGCTTCTATTTCTTCTATCCACCTTTTTTGGGCGACCTCTTCTCTTTCTTCCTCTTGGTCCTTTCCATTGTATAGTGTTAGATGATGGAAAAAAATGCTTAGGAATATTTTTACAATCATTGCGTTTATTAAGTGATCACCGATAAGCGGATTAACTATGAGGACCGCATTTTTAAAGTATTACAAAAAAGTATTGCTGAAAACAAGATCAGTACCTGACATTCAATACTATGTGTTCTCACGACTGTGGATGGAGAAAGACGAATGTTATCGTTACATAGTTTCGGTGCCAAGGACTTTCGTATCTCATTACAATGAATAATTAAAAATATATTGAGATGTCAGTATAGTTTATTAATAGCATTTGATGTAATGCTATCAAAAACATAACTTGTAAAAAAACAAGTCTCACAATTCAGATCTACCGTAAAAAGTTGTAATACCAAGTCGGGTAATTTATTAATGTACCTACTTAAGTTATTACGTAATTAGCTAACCTTACATCTTATAGTGACCATATGAATATTAAAAATCTTTATGTTTTAAATAAACACATTGACATGGCAAAAGATAAATATTATATTAAATTAGATAGTTATTTATTTATTTTTTAAATAAATATAAAAGAAACACAAATAACTCAATACATATTTTTTTTTAATTAACGTATTCGCGTCGGTATGGCGGACTGTAAGTCACACCGGAGAAGTATGGCATGACACTGCCGCCTCTTATTTTTTAATGACTATCGGAAAATACTAGAATTTTTGTGGAACAAATCGTTTGACTTTCGTAATTAATCCGACGAGTTCGACTAACGCCCACGCGATTGGACCGCCGGTACCAGCGCTCTGACTAGTAATAAGACCCCTGAAGAACCGCTATACTGGTGAACCACTATTTTGTGTGACTATCTCCCGGCCTAATACATAGGCTGGCGTTTGCGTTAAGATGAATACTTGGAAAAAAATTACGACAATTTTATATAAGTATCCATTTGTAGAACAATTTAAGTTATATTTTAAACACCAGTATTGGAAACAATAACACGTCGGAGATACTATTATAACAAATGAATTATCACTTTCAGAACGCGGGGAGTGCACGCCGCAGCGGATGGATGACGCATTCTTGATAAGATTCCTGCGAGCTCGCAATTTCATACCACAAAGAGCACACAGGCTGGTAAATATATTATTTACTAGCTGGCCTGGCGAACATCGTACCGCCTAACAGTCTATTCTTTATTTTTTTTAAATACTTATTCTGCTATTCGGGACACCGGTCTAGCTAGTAAGATAAAAAAGAAAGTTGATAAGACAACAAATACATTATGTCAAAAATAAAAATTTACCTTCCCGGTACCCCTCCACTAACACTTGAACTCTATGATATGGTATTAAAGTTCAAATTGACTTTTAAGTATTATTACGATATTTTTGTATGGGAATATAGAAAAGTTGTTTTAGACTTTTTCACTCATTTTTTTTAAATATTTCTCTCCGTAAGAACCATCCTCGTACTTTAAGGAATATTATATAAAAAAATCAGACAAATCGGTCAAGCCGTTTTCATGTTATGTCGTGACAACGGAAAACGGGTTTCATTTTTATATATATAGATTAATCACTATGTAATAACTCAATATTCCTTGTCTATGATATTTGCTAAGCACCGATTCTAGCGGCGACAATACGAAATCATCATTTAAAAAAATAAAGAAATAATAATCAGTAACGCTACAACCTTTTTTAGGTCTAAGCCTCAGATTTCTGTATCTGTTTCATGGTCAATCAAGGCAATTAGTGATCAGCCTCCTGTACCTGATACACGCAGTCGACTTTTGGAGGCAATGTTCATCACGATGTTTTTCCTTTACCGTTTGAGCGAATGTTAAATGCGCACATATAAAGTCCATTGGTGCACAGCCGGGAATCGAACCTACGATCTTAGGGATGAGAGTCGCACATTGAAGCCACTAGGCTAACACTGCGAAATCATTAATTAGAACGTTTAAAACATACGTTTATTTTTGTTGTGTACAGTATCACTGTATTTTTTAAACCAAGCTTGTAGTTATTCGTATTAATCGTTTTCCAATAAATAATATATCTTTGTAAACTGAATGAAACTAACCTTGTAAAATGCAAACAATACTTTGTAAGAATAAACACTTGAAGTATTTATGAGTAAAGATGACTTCACATAAGGATACTTTATTTCACAGATGGTCAATTATTACCGTTTCAAGGATGAAAACCCGGAATTGTTTGAAAATGTTTATCCACTTGACTTCAGAAACATTGGCGACGCGAATATTATATCCGTCCCGCCATACCGAGACCAGGACGGCAGACGGCTCTTGTTGTATAGAATTGGTAAGTTCCTCATACAACAAGGTAATACTACTAGAACATTACAATATCCTAATATATAAAACGAGTAAAAAACCCCGTCAAACCGGTGTTATATCCCCTCAAATTATAGAACATATATAAATAAAGGTATAGAATATCCAGAGACGAGTTATATCCAGAGTATTCGGATAACGGCGTATTTAATTCGATTTAGGGTCCTTCAAGAAGAGAGCGATGGTACGCATTTTTGCAAGGCCCACAACACACTTGCGATTCTTTTGGTAATGTGAGTGTCCGATTACATAAAAAAAGGCAGCAGTATCACTTAACATCAGATGAGCCTCCTGCCCGTTTGCCTCCTAATACATTAAAATAAAGGGTGCGTGTACTTATGTACGCGCGTAAGAAGTTATACTTCTTTGGCTTTCTTAATTTTATTAAAATATTAAATATTATCAATTATTAATTAATAATAATAATAATTATTATTTATTATTTTATTATGTTATTCATTCAATTTAATAACTAGGTATGTTTCATAACCTTTTAGCTAAGTAACAATAGGTCTTTGTGAAAAAGAATTGCTAAATTTCTTTGAAAAAATAATTTTTTTTTTTATTTGTTTTAAAATGTACTACAAAGGTCATTATGGTCATTCAAAATTCTTGGCATAGCTGCTAACTTCACGCATATTCTATTTCTTTTTACTTGTAGATTGTCTTATTCCCATCTCGCTCGCGCACGCTCGGCGCCCGGCTGGTT